GGGACTTTTGTGGGGGCTTGATGAGGTCTAAAGTGCCATCGAGGCCATCCGGGGCTTATTCGTGCCGGTATTGGTCGATAGGTCCGATCGATCGATCCTGGCCTTCCGATAGCGACTCTCGTCGCTGTTCTTCTTGAAATGTATCGGAAAGACCGAAGTGGAGCCCATCACCTCTCGGGGAGATTTGGGGACGCGAAATTTCCAAGTGGCACGGCGGAGCTCGTTTATAAATCGGAATTACCGGGCGCGCTCGTAGCTCGATAATCGATCGACTGTCGTGTAACTATCCACTCGGTGATGAAGCACGCGATAAAAGGATGTCGCGACCCTGGATAAGCTCTCCGTGTAAATTCGTGGCTCGCGTGTCCGGGCCGTTTCGGCGGCGCGGCCATTATCGTGAATATTTTACAGGACCCGGAATAGTTAGTCGAAACGAGATCCACCGCTGAGTGACGATCCCTCTAAATCGCCCCTCTTCCGAAAAAGTGTCACTACGGTTTTACGGAATTTCTGTACCTCGGTGTCTTTGCGACCGAATTGCTCGACTCCGACCGAAGTAAAACCTGGAGGGACGTCTAGATCTCAGACTTTTCTAAGGATCGTTTTCGTGTAGTCGTTTCCTTTTGACGACGACGTGGATCCACGACCTCCAAAAAGAGGACCCGATCTCTTTCCTGGAGACTTTTAAGTCGTCCCTCGTTAAAAAGAACTGCCGCTTAATTTTCAAGGCCCTACAATGTTTATACATTTCTATATCTTAGTACCTCGGCGACTGAACCGTAACATTTGAAGTGGTGTTCAAAATTTCGTCCTGATTTTCTGGAGTTTTTTCAACCGTCATTCGTTAAAAAAGAAAACGTCATGATTCTCTGTGGACTCGATTTTGACTAAAATTCTAAAACTTCGCAGCTTTTATCTGAAGTCTTGAAATGTCTGATTGAAGCGAAAATTGAACGCTTGTTTCACATTCAGTCTTAACTTTTTATTATTATTTTTAGGGGCGAGTACTTTGGAGGTCCCTTTTGACTCGCAGCATCCAAGAAGAGGACGAGTCGCGGATCTCTCTCCAGGAGATGATCCGCAGCGAGCCGGTGAATTCCCCGTCAGTGCTCAGTGTCGGCAGGGAATCGTAAACCCCGCCCGTAAATCTGCACGCGTTTGCGACTGTTCGCGACGAATATGGTTATGGGCCGACGTTGTCCTGGTCGTCGCATCGGGACCGTTGTCCTGGACCCATTATGCGTCCTTGCGCCGCATATCGAATCCCATTGTTAAGAAAAAATTCCAATCGATCAAAGCGCGCCGAAATTAAATAACAAACAGTCCCAAAAACCGAAGGACCCCCCAGAAATTTCTAAAAAAAATCCTCCCAAATTTTGGACAAGATCCTACAGGACGAGTATCAAAGGGAAGTGCGAGGATCAAGAAACGTGATCCAAGGTCAAGAATTCCAAAATTGCGAAAGATCAGTGGCAGAAAGGGTGAAGCCGATGATAGAGGCAAACCCATTGATAAGAAAATATTTCAATCAAAGCTCGTCAAAAATGAATAAAAGCAGTCCCAAAAACCGAAGGACCCGCTAGAAACTTCTAAAATAAATCCTCCCAAATTTTGAACAAGATCCTACAGGACGAGTATCGAAGGGAAGTGCAAGGATCAAGAAACATAATCCAAGGTCAGGAATTACAGGGGTGCGAAGCATCAGGGGCAGGGAGGGTGAGGCCGATAGTATGCAAAATATGCAAAATGGTCGTTGTACCTAATTCGATAATCCCCGGAGTATGAAACAAAGTTAGGCTTTGGGCGGCGATGCTTTGCATATCTTCCATCTGTATTTACATGAAATACACCGGGAGCCAAGAGGAGGCCACTCGACGTTCCTGACGTGAACGATGGATCCTCATCTCTGGGCGGAAGTGCGACTTCGCGTGGCGTCGAGAGTAATATCCGGGAAAGTTTCGGCGCCGGCGGAATGTCGTCCAATCACCAGGACACACGAAAGGACGTCCTCCTGGTGGATTTTCCAAATTCCCGGCAATTTTTCGGGACTTTAAAAACCCGGAGATCGATCAGCAGAACTTTTACCACCGCCGGGATGGAAGTTCCGGACGTGGGGTTTTTTCCTCCCTTCGATTAAAATTACTCCAAGCCGATCACGCTCAAACGTTTACATTGATTCGTGTAATATCCTCCCACTGGAGAAGGGATTAGTCGAGTGATATTTTTCCCGGAAATTTCGCCCTCGTTCCCGAGATATCGGCAATCATCCCGCGGATTTCGAATTTGTATTTCCCCCGCAAATATTTACCCGCGCGCGGGGATTAATTAATCCGCGGAACTTTTTCTCCCAGGATGTTCCAAGTAGAAGGGAATCCCGTTTTTTCGGGGGTGGCTCCAACGGGAACCCGGAAATGATGGGTCGCCTTGTCCTAGAGGAGCAACGACGTTTGCCAAGGACTTTTTGCTCTTGCCATTGACGAAGGGCCGTCGATTCGAGAAGGAGGGAATTAGTCGGCGAGAAATTCCTATGGAGCCGTGCCAAAAGACGAACGCGCGTCCTGATTGGCTGGCCGAAGTCGCAGCTCGCTTTTCATTGGTTCAGAGCGACCTCGTTGACCCGCGATCGGTATTGCCCGCTATTTCTCTTGGCAATCGAATACCGATAAGCCAATATGTATCAAACGGCGCCGAGTTAGGCCAGGCCCGGGGAGAGAAAAAGAACATGGAGATGAACCAGTTCGTAGGAAATTACTTTCCGCGTGTTTCCCTGCCGAGTTTTCCTCCTCGCGAGAATTTCCCGGTAGAACGCACCGATTGTTTAATTATCATCACGCGATCCACCCCCGGGGCGTTTTCAATTATTATTCGATTACACCCGGCCGATGATTGAATCCGGTAATCATTACCAAAAACCCCGATTTCATCGCCCGACCATCCCAATTAATCGTGTAATTTCATTGTTTTGGAATATGTTTATTACGAAAATATGCAATACAACTGTTCACTACTATAAACTACTCTAAACTGCTACGATTACTATTAACTATATTCGTTATGAAATATATTTGTCATTAAAATGTGGTATGTAACTTCTTTAATAAAATGAAATTTACACGGGGGTAAGAAGTTCGACAGAGTTTCGCACCAAATACATACAGGCGCTGTCCAACCATCCTAATTAATCGTGCAATTTCATTGTTTTTAAACATATTTAGGAAAATATGCAATACGACTCTAATGAAATATAACACCTATAAACTATATTCGTTATGATATATATCTCTCGTGGAAAAATATAATATAATTTTTTCTTTAGTGAAATGAAATTTACAGTGGAACAAGAAGCTCGACGGAGTTTCGCGCCAAATACACATAGGCGCGTAGTTTTTCAAAGGTCCTGATAAGGAGACTTTCCCGATTCCGATATGAGGATTCCGGCGCGAAAATTGTGTCAGTCGGCCTAACTAAAGGATCTTCTTTGGAGGAAAAGTCGCGAAGCCCGTCCGCGGGGAAATGGCTGAAAATCCCCGAAAAGAGAGGGCGGATTTCCAGCGGGGCTTTTTCCCGTCGGAGAAAAATCGAGCTTTCCATTTCCCTTCGAGTTCGCGCGATGACGCGGGGAAGGACGTCGCGATGGAGCTCGCGAATCGCCCGACTAAAGTCGGATTTACCTGACGGATTTCCCGGAGAAAAAGGTGGCCGAAGGGGGTGCAGGGGGGGAGGGGAGAAAGTTAAAAAGCGAGAGGAGAGAGGGCGAAAGCGGGACGCTTTTCCGGCCTCGATTTTACATCCCGGGGAAAAGGAGCTTTATCGAGGGCCGCGATCGCTCCGGTGAAATCGAAATCGCGACGCCTCGATTCCTGGCGCATCCGCGACTGCGCATGCGCGGAGACTCTAATCCCCTGAAAGCTCCTCCCGCGTCGGCTAAAGAAGACGGATTGTCCGAGAAATTAATGCGAATTCTCTGAAAGGCTTTCAGGGACGTTAAGGTGAAGTGAAACCTCTCGAGAGAGTTATTCCTTCCGGGTAAAAACAAATTCTTCAAGCTGATATACCCCCCCGAAACAGCGCGCAACGTTACCGACGTTTATATTCATACCGGCAGGTGTGTACGTTGAGAATTGCGGGGAATGGCATATTTCACGTGTCGTTTCGGTAGAATGATGAAGAAACTGAAGTAAAGCTCAAGAAATCCCCTCGATCCTGGATTCTTCATACTCTAATCTCTACTACAGAGCCATATCCATTGCGTTCAATGTCAACTGCATTTTTTTCCGAGAAATAGTGCATACGTGCATTACATTCATCTTTATTGTTGTCTGTTGACATGCTAAAGCAACAGTATAGATGAATGTCATGCACATATTGCACTATCAAATGTTAGCGAATACAGAAACGTAGTCCCGAGACCATTTCAATTTTGGTACCGTAATGTGAGAATAACGGCTAAAATTGCATAAAAGTTGTTTTATGGAAAATTAAGGGTTTCATTAACTAAATGAAATTGGTAGAGAGTGCGAAGAAAGTGTACATTGTATTAATGAAAAGTATGCTGGAAACGTATAATGTAATGAGAGAATGGGGTGTATGGCCGGGTCTGACGGACCACGTGTCTGTAGTTAAAGGTTAACTAAATTCCAGCGGAGAAACCGCCGCGGAATTCGTTTCCTCGAGTTCCCCGAAAACGATCGCGAGCTGCGGAATTCGGACGCGAGTGAACCGCACTGCGGGAAAATTCACGCGCTAATTTACACCTCGTCAAAGCGTTGCTGACAGTAACCGGCGCTTTGTCGCCCGCCTAAAGGCGACATTCTCCCCTCCCGTTGGATAATCGCGTTCGACAATGTCGGAGAACGGCGATTAAATAACCCGCAGGCGTAGACGTTGCCGCAGCGCCGAAAGAAACGGTCACGTAATTCCACCAAAAAGTGCGTCATCGATTACGCGCCAGGTATAAAAGCCATTAGATGTAGGAGAGACAACACTAGTTCAAGAGGCGATCGATCGCGTGGACGCCCGGAAGGAAAATCGGGGATTCAAGATCGCGATGGCCTTCAAGGTTCGTTCGGGAACCCTTAAGGTGATGTGAAAAAGTGTCATACATACATACCAGAAAGTTAAAGTATTTATAAAACGTTTCTTCAAACGGGGTGCGTCGAATCATTGAAAACTTCATCACAAGGATATGGAGGCCCTAAAGAAGAGAACGCGATGCTCGTGGAATTTAATTTTACGAAAAAACAATTTGTACTTTTGTCTTGGACTAGAACTAAAAAAGACTTTTTTTTTATCGAATTTTCCTTAGGGGCTCTATAATTTTGTGATGAAGTTTCAAATGATTCGAGGCACCCAGTTTGGAGAAAAGTTTTATAAATATTTTAACTTTTTAATATGTGGCACTTTCGTATCACCTTAAGATGGCCACGTAAAGATAAATCGGTGAATACCGAGCTGGACGGATTTAACCGACGTGATCCAAGAACTCGATTTAAAGGCACGGATCACAATTCGCTGAGATTTATCGTTAAGTGTGTAGCCTTAAGGTGATATGAAACTGGATATCAAATAGATGTTGTTTGTGAAACTACTTCGAACTGAGTGTACCAAATCCTTTGAAACTTTACCATGTGAATATGAAAGCTATAAGAAAGGTGCGACATGAAATTTGAATTTTCTTAAAATTTCTTTATAGACGTTTCCAAATTTCGTTATAAAACATGAAATTTCCTAAGAGTCAGGACCTTCCTTGAAGTCTCCATATTCACATTGTAAAATTTGAAACGGTTCGGTAAGCCCAGCTCGAAGAAACGCTTCATAAACAATTGACCCTTCGGATGCCATTATCATATCACCTTAACGTGTTTCTCATACAAAACGAAGTTTGGAAAAAATTGACAAAACTTCAAAAGAAGGGACGCAGATTTTTGAAACATTTCCGCGATAAAAAGGGTTGAAAAAACTCAAAGGGGACCCTCTGCGAAATTGGGTGGCGGGGTAAGAGGAACCCGCTCGATTAGCAGGAATTGCGAAATTTGCGGAAACTCCGCAGCCTGTTCTTCGGGGCGGGACGAAGGGTAGTTCTGAAATTTCGGAGGTCCTTCACTAGCAGAGACCAGGATTAAGCCGACGCCCCGAAATTCGCGAATCCCTTCTCCGGGAAAATGGATTCCGCGTTGGGAAGGTTTTGGTCAAATTTGTCTCTCTCAACGAAACGTCTGACGTGATGCATGAAGATAGATTCCCAATCTCTTTGTTTATTATACTGATCCTCCTTCGAGACTTTTATTTGGTGACGAACAATTCGATCTTACTCCTGCAATAAGTTCAACAAAATGAAGACCTTGCACTTTTTGCACTTATAGCACGATTAAGGCCGATTTTGCTCCTCACTAAAGCACGTAAACAAAGCATCTCGAAAGACCGACTCGCAAAGATCGATACAATAAATAAAGAGTGAATATTGGGAAGCAATACTCGTTTATCATATCAGACATTTCGTTGAGAGAAAATCGTCCTCGTCATTAATGTACTCTCGACGTCGCTCGGCGAAGAGGAGAGCGTGAACCAAAATGGCGGCGTTCTCCACTTGGAGCGGCCCTCTGAGGGTCGTTCTCCACTGGAGAACAGGAATTAATGATTTTCGACCTCGTAGTTTTGCTAATTCCGCGACGTTTCGCAGATTGTCACCTCATTGGCTATTCTGCTGCTCGCAGTGGGGCACTCGAGGCCCCTTGAAGACCGGCAGAGCGAGGGGTCCGCGGAGGACAGGAGTTCCGAGTCCCTGGTGAAGGACGAGCAGGAAGACGAGAGCCAGGAATCTAGGGCGAGTCCTCGAGGCGAGGAAGAAGAAGACAGCAGAAAAGGAAAACAGCCGGAACCCGTAAAGGACACGACGAAAGAGTCCTACGGTACCTACAATAGCAACTCCAAAAATGTCCAAAATGATAATTCCCATCGTTCTCATAAATTTCTAACCGATCGCCAAAATATTTCCCTAATTTTCAAGAGGCCCTCCTCGAGGCGTACTACAAACTCGTCGAGGCCACCCTAGCCGTTGGCCATAAGCCAGCAAAAAAGGATTAGCACGCGAGGTGGATGCTTCCCTGATGAGGCAAAAGAGGCCGCATAGAGTGCCCTGAAGAGCAGCGCTATCTAATTTGGACCACCGGAAAGTGCCTGGAAAAATGTGTTTTCCTGTACAATTTGCGAAAGAAATTCGGCGAGCATGGAACCCCTTTTCTCTGTGACTGCGGTTTGCAGGGGTGGAGAGAGGGCATTTTTGTTTCCCTCCTCCATAGGGGGGAAACAAATTTGCGACGCGTTTAGAGGCCTCGGAAAGGGTCAGTTTTTGGTGGGTGAGTGATACGCGGTGTCCGTGAAAACGGTGTCTGGAAAAATGTGTCTTCTTGTACAATTTGCGAAATAAATTGGACGAGCATGGAACCCTTTTTCTCTGTAACTGCTGTATGTAGGGGTGGAGGGAGGGCACTTTTGTTTCTCTCTTCCATAGGGGGGAAACAAATTTGCGACGCGTTTAGAGGCCTCGGAAAGAGTCAGTTTCTGGTGGGTCAGTGATACGCGATGTCCGTGAAAACGCCGATACGGCGAATCGAGAGAGAATTTAGCTCGAGGTCGAGCTTATTCATTTCCAGGGAAGGATGTTGCGGGAGAGTACAGCATCCACGAACCCGCTGGTAATGTCAGGACCGTAAAGTACCATGCCGACCATCATGGCGGCTTTCATGCCGCGGTCCACAATTCCGGCGGAAACGGCCATTCCGGAGAACCCACGGCCACGGTAGTCAGACCCTGGACGTCATCGTCATCGATCAATCGCCTGTACCGACGACTCTAATATCGACGATCAATCCCTGAATTGCCCCGATTCCTGATTAAAATTAATCCCACATCCCGTTTCCAGCAAAGAAAAATGTCTAAAAGATCTCCCCGTCAATGGCGACTTTTCCCAGTTGGTCCCTTTTCTAATGTTCATAATAAAAACCTTCTCTTGCTTCAAATATAAGCAAAATTGGGCCAACATATCACTTCGCAGGAACTAGTTCAGTGTACAAACAACAAGGAAATTGACACTCCACAGAGCACCCACAAATTACACTCATGGTTACTCTTCCCCAGCAACAACGAAGAGGATGGTAACTGGTTCGATGAAGTACCCAAATTAATTCCCCGTTATCATTACAATTTGATACAATTACAAACATTCCTTCCGTGAATACAATCACTCCCGCAATAGAAACCAAACTCCATCAGCACCATTGTCCATGGATAACCACACATCTTTTTTCTCCGCGTATCAGTCCTATCAGCGATCGACCTCTAGCTCCTATCTGGAGGCAATACAAATTTTCCGCCGACCCCCCCTCAGCGTCTCCCCTTCTGAGAGATTTGTCGTCCCTTCGGGAGGAAATTTCGAAAGCATTACTCGTGATAGGGCCCGTCAAAACGCGGAGCCAATCAAGATAGACAACGCACTCGATCGAGGAATCGAATGACGTATCGCGGCCCGGAAAACGCTCGCGAGTTTTCCCAGAGCTGCAGCGAACCGCAGGGGGGTATTGGGGGGGAGGGAAATGAAAAATTGTGTATTCACGGGCGTCCCGGAAGCGGTTTCGCATCGCTTCCGCAATGTCCATCCACTTTCAGCTCCGCTTCGGGTCTCCGCACTCTCCTTCGCGTTTCGCGCATTATCAGAGCGGATAAGCGAGCGGAATCTCGCCGGGCCAAAAATCCGATCGTCGGTGGGAATTCTGACGAGCGGAATGAAATTTCAGCCGGGAATCGCTGGATAAAGCGAGTTGCCGATGATCGGTACGCAGAAACGAGGATCCTGAAGAGGATCCTGAAGAGCACTCGGTGCTCTCGATTTTATCCGCGGATTGTACCGGTTGTACATACGCCCCGGGGAAACGTATCCTTTCACGTCGAAGCTCGGGGGTTTTACGAGGTGCACGCAGACGAGAAATAAAGAGCCAAGGAAGGGAGAGCCAACGGAGGATGAATAATCAGAGATTGATGCTGGCCCCCCGCCGAGCTTCGTCTAATACCAGTCAATGGATGATTGATTGGGGCGTTAGGTCTATGGGGAAAAGCGAGGAAGAATGAAGAGACTATCGCGAAAATAAAACTACATCGATAAGAGTGTCCATAATTTAAACTGGAGGAAATTTGCGGATTGAATTTGTTAACTCGATAGTTTAAGTTAGGCATGTTTCAATCATCTGTGCTGTACGATTGATAGGCCACTACGTTAAGAAATGTGTTTACGTGTGTGTTGTGAATTTCATTCATTTCATTAAAATGCCACGATGGAGGTATCAAATTTAAAGATGCGGTACTTATCGAAGCAACGTTTTTTAAAACGGCAGGGAAGATTTCTCGAGCTGTGGTTATCCAACGGCAGTAAATAATCCCGGTTTAACTTTCCTGTACATCCGCGACCAAATAATGTTTATGTTTTGTCTGTATAGAAGGGCTAATCCCTCAACAGTGTGCCTGAATTGTTGGGTTGCACCCTGACGCGAACTCTGTCAAAATTCCAACTTGAAATTCGACGTTTCCAACGGTGCAAAAATGGAGCACCGGAGAACAAGAAGCCAAAATTTGGCGATCCCTCTGACTGTCGAAATAGATTCCATTTTGGCCTGCGGTAGTTTGCGTAATTTCCAAAATAACCGGAAACAACTGTCCTCAGACGGCCGGGATTTGTTTAACGCCGGATTCCCTCACGGACTAGTTTTTGAGAGTTAATTAGTACGGACACAACAAGCCTTGACGGTATTACTGGTGACGAATGAATTCGGTCGTTTAGAATCGTTCCGAGCTCCCCCGTTTGGACCCTCGTACCGAAAAGTTCGTTTCTGACATCGACTTCGTAATTAAAACTACATCGTTCCCATTGCCGCACGAAATCCCGCGTCGGCACTGGCCCCCGCAAAACCACAACAATTTATGGAATAATTATGCCGCGCGTTTCCACCGTCGTTCGGGGAGCGTGGTGCAGACCCGAGGGAACTTTTGCCAGGGGAGGATAACCCTAAAAGGACCCAATGGAGTCCAAGATCCAAAAAGTACACCCGGTCCCATTTAATCCCTGCTCATCCCGTCACTTCGAGCAGGATACATTTCTCGCCAGCCATATTTCGATGGGTCGAAATCGACTTTTACTAGCGAATGCAAAGGGAACCTATGTAGACTCCTCGATGACACATTTAACCCCTTGACATACAATTAAACGGAATTTAATGCGTCCAAAAAATACTATTTATAGTTGACCGGAGGCAGTTCTTGACGTCTCGGAGACGTCAAAGTCTACAATGGCACATGAAATGAATGACGTCTCCCAGACGTCATTGTGTATGTCAAGGGGTTAAGAAGGGTTCCAAAGATGCATCGGATACTCAGGAAAAAGTGTGTTTCTGGAAAATTGCCTGCATTTACTAAGAATCTAAAACAGTAATTGAAATCGAGAGCGAATCTCACAGTCGGCGTCTCCACCTTTATCGAGAAATTCGACGACGCTTCGCGTCAAATACATGCATGCCGAGACTGGCGCCGCGGTTCTTTACGATAATGTATCCATTTAGCTTTTTTTCGGTTAACATTGAATTAAGCGAAGCATCGCGATTTATTAAATTTGAAGAGTATATGAATTCTTCGCTGCGAGACAGGGCGTATGGGGTGAAACAGTTGACAGTCGGGGAAGCTTTTACCGAGGAAAACTAACCTTAAAAAGACCCCAAGAGGTCCAGGATCCAAAAAGTGCACCCGGTCCCATTTAATCCCGGCTCATCCTGTGTCACTCGAAGCAGGTCTCGTTTCGTCCGGACCACTTCTCACTGGGTCGCAATCGACTTCCACCCGCAAACGCAAATCGAACCGATATCGACTCCTCGGTGACACCCTTTCGAGGGGGGCTCGATCGATCGCGCCCTCTCCGAGGGAATTAAAATTCTGTCCGGACACTTGACACAGATCTTTCAATTTCCTGCCGAGATCTGAAATAAGAGGAGCCGCGAGATTCGCCTGGATTGATTTTCGCCAAATAAAGGGCACCTCCTGACATCGAGAAGGAAAATCGGCAGGGTCGAACCTTCAAAGTTTGCGTATAGAAAGCGTCCTTTCAACGAGAGTTCTTGAAACGACATTACAGATTCGCGGAGGTGAAGTGCCAACATCGAGAAGATTATTTCACGATATTATTTTCAAAATTTCTTCGGCCACTTTTTCCGACCTCCCAAAGTGCACTTCCTTTTCTTGCGTCTACGAATTTCATTCTTTTTCTCCGACAGTTAACTTTGTCATTGTCAAGAAATTTGACCGCATCTAAGCCTTAAAACGTTCTATGAAATCTTCTATGTTAATCTTTGTACGAGACCATTTTCTATGCCCTGTAAATCCACGTCTTAATCTACTATAAACAAATTACCTATTATATTCGCGACGACGAGATCAGGTCTGATAAATGTCCTCTCAGATTGTAATTGCGTGCTCTTCCGTGACGAGTTGTCTAATTTCTCGAGGAAGGAGTTCTTCCCGCGGAGTCGAAATCGAAGCCCGATCGATCGCTCGATTTCTCGATCGAACCCCATCGATGAGGCACTTAGTGGGGTCCGATCGATCGGGTCTCCTCGCATCACGTCTCGTTAAGCGAGTAATCGAGCGAGCAATCGGCTCGAAGGATCTCGATATTCACTGCGGCTACATTCTCCGGATCCTAGTCCGAAGTTTCCATTCCATTCGGCGGGAACTTCTCCGATTAGTCCGATCGAGAAGCTATACGACGCATTAACGCGAATCGTCACGACTCCGATGCTCGAAATCGATCACATATCGATCGCCATTTGTCGTTTTGCGGATAACACCAGTCTACAAAATGGATATCGATCATGATCTAGGCAAAGCGATGTCATCGATCGAGGATTTCACCGGTCCGATCGAACGTTTCCATCGCAAAAATTATAATTAATGATGTATAATGTCAGAGGTGAAGAAATCGCACAAAATTTCCCTCCGATATTCTTCCAGACTATTTATTTTTTAAGGTATTATTGCCAAAGTGATCACTGAGTGTGGAAAATGTGCCAGACGGTCGCGTTTGTGACGATATCGTATCCATCTTGTGATTATTCCCCAGAATTGTTCCTAGCCTTGGCAGTTTGATTTTCATAAAGCGATATCTCGTTTCCTAGGGCAGGATCTGTCAGAAATATGACCCATGACACATTTCGTAAGTATCTAATTTCTTCTAGTGCTAGATTTTGCTGGAAAATGTTTCGAAAAATACGGCTGGGAATTTCTAGGGATTTTCTCGCCCGACGCCATAATTCAAGATGCCCGACTCACAATTACTGGAGTCGCCATTAGCGACTCCGATGATTTTCTTGGGACAGTTGCGTAAATTCGGGGAGGA